CGGTTGTTGTGACGGTCGGAGTAACCGGTGGGATCTGGTGGGTCGGGTGGTTGTTGTAGGGTGTGGGGGGTTGGGGGGTTCGAAGGACCGGCGTCGAGGGGAGATTTGCCGTTGGCGTGAAGGTTATTGTTGAACATCATCGCTTCAAGACGGTCAAAGCGTTGGTCAAGCGAATCAGCTCGGGTTTTGAGTTCCGCGGCGAGGACATCATGGAGGGAGCGGATCTCGTCGACTTGTTCAGAGAGAGAGCGCTCTTGGAGGCGGGTTTCAACCATCGTGTCACGGCGAGGATCGTTAACTTCTGATACCAATGTAATAGCAAGAGTTAGATAGATAAATCAAAACCCAAACTAGAGTTCACCAAGAACTTAAGAATGGAGAATCTACCCTAGAAAATGATCAACGAACAAGAAGGATCACCTTGAAGGAGAATAGACTCGAAAAATATTTGGATTGTGCTCAGGGAGCTAAGAGAGGGATAAGATAATACTTTTCTGATTGATTCCTGACACAGAAGTGACGTGATACATAAAGACAAATCTGCTAACGGTCACATACGACACCGCAGATAGCTAGCTAAGGATAAGAGAGATAAGGACAAACCCCTTATCTNGACACAGAAGTGACGTGATACATAAAGACAAATCTGCTAACGGTCACATACGACACCGCAGATAGCTAGCTAAGGATAAGAGAGATAAGGACAAACCCCTTATCTTATTAAACCGAAATTAAACCGAAATGTTTAAACCAGACATGAAAAGTAAAGATAGGTCGGTTAGGTGTTAATGGGCTTGAGAGCCTGTAACACTCGGCTTCTTTAGGGGCTAGGGAGCGAATGGGGCATGGGGAGTTTAGGCATCGCTCCACCTCTTTAGGCGTTTTGATGATGCAGTCTCCTCGGGGCCTTGTCTAATTTATACCTTTCACATGCATGAAGAATCTGAAGGGTTCGACATGATTACGGATTTTAATGTCGATGACAACAAAGTGAAAAGTGAAGAGATGAGAGGGTGAAATTAAGACAGATTTGTTTGTAAGATAAGGGAGGTCAAGAGATAGGAGAAGAAGATGACGCATCTGAACTGAAGCGCCGACGGCGAGCCTGGAAAGACAATTTCTATGAAACCCAAATCATCTCTAACAACAAAAGCTGTGTTTCGGTAAGACCGTAAAAGAAATCAAACAAAACCAGGAAAATTAATTAAAACCAGAATTGTACTGAGACCCACATACCTAAGAAGAGAAACGACACGGCTTGTAAAAAAAACAACACGCGAGTTGAAACAAACAAAGGTGGGATCCATAATTTGCTGATGTGGCTGCTTAAGGGAGAGATAAAAACTCCATGTTGATATTTTCTGTTGACTTGAAACAACATCGAAGGTATAAAGATAAGCATAACTTATCATTTCATAACTTAACACCAAATGTACACTTTGAATTAAAACACGAACACAAGCTCGAACATGAGTATGTTTTACTCAAAAAGAGAGACAAGAGAAACTAAATTTGGTCTATCAAAGTTTCAAGAGAAGGAAATCTCAAAGGAATGAAATATCTTTGTAGAATCTACTATTTTTCTACAAATCCTTATCACAGAACAATTTACAAATTACAAGGCCACTATCTTTTCCTTATTATTTGTTATAGTAGGAAAATACAAATCAAAATTATGGTGGATACCAATTTCAAAACTAATCTCATGCATGGAAACCATTGATAAATAAATCTTATTTAGACATATATATTTGCTACATAATAGTTTGTTCAAAATAATATAAACTATGCAGTACTCAACTAACGAAAGCAAATTCAAAAAATAATATTGCAACAATTAACACTAACAAAACAGAACAAAGTTTTACAGTAATAAGCACTTCTCAGTTACCACCAATATCAAATAGCTTACATTTTGAAATCCTATTATTTACAAATCAAAAATAAATGTTTATAACATAAATATAAGATAATCCGCGCGTATCACGAACACACCACTAGTATTTATTATAATTTGGATCAAAACCTACTTACTCTTTAATATTTTTGACTTTAAAATATTTAAAATGTAAGCATGTACATTATAACCTCTTTAAATTAGTAATCTATAAATTAATATATACTAAATATCTATAAAAATAATATAATTTTATAGTTTTATATTGATTTTTTGGTTAAATTGGTATATCAATAAACTAATAATCTCTATAAATTAATAAAAATTATAGTTTTGGTATAATACCAACATTATTAATTTATAGAGATTTTACTATATTCGTATATGAAATCTATATTATAATGAGGAGGTTTTACTCATTCTTTGACCCACACAGGTCACATGCATATCATGGGTCCCATTTGAAAAAAAAAATCTGCATAATAACGAGAAAACCTCGATTAATTATTTTATACACGTGTATATTGTCTCCTCAAATCTAATTCCCTTTTCCCTTAACCCTAGGATCATCATAACAGTTAGACGATTTAGATCGTATTGCTGTTTCTGATTGATTCGGATCGGTTATTATGTTTTTGAATAAACAGGTGATCCCGTCGCGGAAGCAAAGAACCGTCGCGGTCTTAGCGACATCGGAAACATCGCTTCTCTTTGTGGAGTCGAAGCAGGAAAGTTGAATCATCCCTAAAACCGTATCTTCCGTGCCCAGTTTCTTGAAAACGCTAACAAAAAGGTTCCATTTTTCTTCTTCTTTTTTTTGCAAATCCTGTTTTCCAGACTACATATGAAAACTGAATCTATTCCTCTTTTTCTTATCACTGAACAGCAAGTTAGTGGCGGTTCAAAATAAAGCAAGAGCTGTTGATAAGCCGCAGCAGCCTCACGAAGTGATTGTGATCAGTCCAGACACAAACGAGGTTGCTAAAGCTAAACAGGATCAGAGACACGATGCTGCGTCCAAGAAGAAAGTTACTTACACTTCCATTCTCAATGCTTGAAGCAAGGTAAGTGTTTCTTTGATTTTTCAAAATCGGCATTTGATTATGCTTTTTGTGATTGATTGGTTGGTTACATACTTTACTTTAGGCTGCTGCTTCCAAGACTCTTGAGATATTGATTCTGCGGACAAAGACAATGACCTTGCTGCTGTGGAGTATGTTAAGGACATGTACTCTTTCTACAAAGAGGTTGAGGTACTTGTGGTCAGACCCTTTATTCTAATATGCTTTATTGATATGTTTTGTGAATGTTTTATGCTTTGTTTCCTGTTTCAGAATTTGAGACAACCCTCAAATGTATATGCAGACACATACTGACATCAAGGAGAACATGAGATCGATTCTTGTAGACTGGCTTGAGACGTTCATGTCAAGTTTGATCTGTCTCCTGAGACGCTTTACCTCACCATCAACATAATTGATCGGTTCCTGTCTCTAAAAACGGTTCCTGTCTCTAAAAACATAATTGATCGGTTCCTGCTTCTAGGCGTTAACGCTTTACTCAAAGCCTCCAAATACGAAGAAATCTGGACGCCTCAAGTATGTGATGTAACTCCTCTGTCGCCGGCGATGGTGTTTAAGCCTCTTGGCTCTGAGTTATTTTATTGCAGATCTCCTTCTCTTCGTTTCATGATTGTGTTTTTGTTTATAATTTTTATTTGATGCTCTCTTGCGTTTTCATATTTGTTCAGATCGAATCTGATTATCTTTGATCATCAATCGTGTGTTTTTGGGATCCATTCGATTTTTATTTGATTTATCTGATATTCTTATGGAATTTGTGGTTAACTAGATCGACTTCAGTTGTATCGATATTTTTTGTTCGAATTGATTTTGTGTTTGGGATTTGCATAAACAATAATAACCTTCACTGATATCGACGGGAGTCTAATGTAAGTTGACTCCATTGTTCGCTATTTTTAGATTGGTTATGAAGTGTTTTGTATGAGTAGAATTAGATTGATCTCAGTTTAGATCATTGGGTTGGTTTCCTTGCTTCAGGTTCTATCAGGCTTACTATTGAGTGTATTGTTTTCCTCTAAGAAATGGAGCAAGTTTTTGTATGGCCAAACTTTTACCATTATCGACTTTACTCTCTCCAAGAAGTGCTCCATTGACATTTTTTTAGAGTTTGTTAGCTCTTATGGTGCATATGAGAAGCTCTGAAATTTATGATGGTGTCAAGAGTTTCGAGAGAAGGAGATCAGAGCGTAGTCCCTGCCATAACATCTCGGGCGCAATGCTTATGTTCCATCTAAACAACAACTTTTCAAGGGAGAAGTTCTTACATGCAGTGGGGTTCCAAGGTGGTTCCAGAGCATAGAAACTCGAGGTGAAAAGGGTGAACTTGAGGGTAACTTGAGCATGGTTAACCTCTTTTCCCTTTAAAGGAATCATGAGATGAGGCCGATGGTGGCTATTTTCATAAAAAGAGATGATGATGATGATGATGATGATGATGATGATGATGATGATATCAGATTTTTAAACCTTGTGGAGAAGAGGACTTGGTGAACTCTACAGAGTTTGCTTGGGAAACACATTTCTGAGCTGAAAAACAGAGTATGGGAACCGAGAATAGTCAAGAGCTCAGGTCCTCCGGTTATTTCCTTTGCTCTATGAGATGTTCCATTCACCAAGACCACCAGAGCTATCAGTCAAGCTGCTCAAACAAGCTTGTGGGGGTTGGAGAAACTGAAAATTTCACAACGTAAAGATAAGAACGGTGGTCTCTTGCAGCTTAAGATCTCTGTGCTAGGTGTGGAGAAAAGAAAACAGCGGCGTCACATGTTTCAAAAAGAGGAAGAGCTGACCCGAGGGATTCATTTATGTCTGAGGCAACTCGATGATGGTGGTGTTAATCTGAGATGAGTACATGCTTGGTATTCTGATCTGGCTGCCATGCTATTAGAGTTCCCATTTCAATGTCATTAACTTGAGGAAAAATTTTGAATGCTCAGGTGATGGGAACTTGAAAGACTGCTACCACCTACATAAACTTTGTCCCAACCTTGAGGACAAGGTTGAATTCAAAGGGCGCAGTAATGATACGATGGGCCTGCCACTTCTGGATTCAAGAGGAATTAGAGGAAAATGGTAGTGGGAAAGGAAGAGTTGCTTTTCAGGATAAGAGTTCTAGAAGAATAAGGAATAAAGAGCATGCTGACCTGGAGAGGCTGCACATGGGATGTCAGTCATGCTGAGAGTGTGCACGAGAGGTAGCTGCTGAGTATAAGAATATGAAGGAATTGTTAGTTACGATTATCAGTTGTTTTGATCAGTAGACCATGGAGGAGAGGAGCAACTCCTAAAAAAACTCTTTGTATTTCCCTTTTTGATCTATAAAATCACTTTTTATTCCATTTTCTTTGTTCCTTTGCAAGTTTGATACAGCAAAAGTGTACCATAAATGTTCAGAAAACAATAAAAATGAGGAAAATAGCTCACTGATTACCAATACTTTCTAGATCCATTTTTCCAGAAGTGATATCATCTGAGCTATTTTACCGGAGCTTCCTGAAGCAAAGCACATGAAGTACGGGGCCATGGACCCTTGGGTCTAGGCACTCAACATATGTTCTTCCTGGCAAATGACAGTAGTCATTACAACAAAACATTTCAATAATACAGTAAATATTATGATTTCAATAATACAGATATGTTAAACTAATCCACCCAATACAATTTTTTTTTCACGAAAATACTTTCTTCCATACATTTTTGGCCAGTTAAGTTCCAACTTACACTAAAACCTACCATACATTTTATAAACATGTTACCTTAATTTAAAATTACAACAAAAAAATATAAAATAAAAGCAAAAAATGTCTAAAGTTAAGAGGCGTTCATTAATTTATTTTATAAAAATCCTACAATGTTAAATACTCTACACACAACGTATACACAACACCAACCGCTAAAAAAATAAAACAGTTCATAACCACATCTCAACCATATTACAATGGGGAAATTTCATAACTATCACTTTCACACTACCACTTTTCAAATATACCACAATTTAATTTCACTTTTCAAATATACCACTTTCATTTTATGACAAATTACAAATCTAACCCTAATTACTTCCTTTTCTATCATTGTCGTGTTAGGGTGAAGGAGCAGAGGCGGAGGTGGAGGAGGCGCGGCGGAGGAGGATCTGGTCTGATCGGAGAGTTCGTCGGCGGTGGGGATGAGGGATTAGGAGGAGGAGGAGGAAGGAAGACATGAGGGGCGACGAGAAAGAAGAATAAACATTTGTGAAATATCGAAACTTTCGTGAAATCCCGACGTGGGTCGTTTTCGATTGTATTCGATCTGGCATTATCTCAAGAAACAAGATCTCGGAGATTCCATTAGCCCTAGAAATTCTGAGAAACTCCGTGGATGGAGAGGGAGACGTAACAATGAAAGGTTGTCCAAGATAAGATTATTCTGGAGATTATGGGTTACACTCAACGTCAAGCGGCCCAAAAGAGAATAAACATTAATGGCTGCTTACATATAAGTTTTCACTTCTGATGCAATCAATATTTAAGCTTGGTTCTCAATTTGGATTAATTTCACACTTTTATTCATGCTGTTGGTTTGTTGCCGCTGAGGATGAGGATTGAGGATGATAAGGTTGTGTGTCCGTCGATGAGGTTTTGTATTTTTGGGAGAATCAGTTGTTGTTCCCTTAAATCATATCCCGCTTTCATCCAAACCTTATATTCGTAATAACCCTCTCAAGTACCTGTAACTTTGTTTATTCATCTTCAGACATATCTTGGAGATGATTGGTTGTATTATACAACTTGTATAACGCTCCATTGGTTTTGCCCAGCAATCTTGCTCACAACCAGCTTAAGCAGCTAGCTATTGACTTCACCAAACTCTCCTCTCTCTCCATCTTGTAAGATCTTCTCTTTTTTTTTTCCCTGAGTAAAATTAGTTAAGGGATTGGTTAGTGAGTGAAAAAATGTTTTGATGAATCCATGTGTGTTTCCAGGGACCTCTCTTCCAATACTATCACAGGTTCTCTTCCAAACACAATGAGCTCTCTTACAAGTGCAACGTCAATGTAAGTAGTCTATGTGTGTTGTAAGAACTTACTTAAGTGAACCAGTTAGTACTAAAACAATGTTATATTGAATGAACTTCACAGTTATCTTCAGAACAATCAGTTCTCAGGCACCATTGATGTCTTAGCCACCCTTCCTCTCGAAAATTTGTGGGTAACTTAAGCTTTATCCGTTTTAGAAATTTATCATATATAAGTACATCATTTGAACGTTGTGCTTGCTGAATGCTTTCCTCAGGAACATTGCAAACAATCAGTTCACAGGCTGGATCCCTGATTCTTTGAAAGGCATTAACTTGCTGTAAGTTTTTGATTAGTTTCATCAATTTTCTTGGAACTTTTTGCTTTATCTCACTTAGTTTGTCCTGAATGATGTTGTAAACAGAAAAGATGGTAACTCACTCAGTTCCGGGCCTGCACCACCACCACCTCCTGGCACACCTCCTATCCATAAATCACCTACTCCTAAATCCCGTACCAACAGTGGATCCAGCAGTAACACTGGTGATTCCAGCAGTAGCAATGACTGATAAATCAGGGATTGGAGCTGGTGGAATAGCATGAATAGTCATTTCATTGTTAGTTGTAACAACAGTCCTAGCTTTCTTCTTGATCAAGAGAAGAAGATCAAAGCAGACAACGTCCACAGACATTGAAAGGACTGATAACGTTAACCATTTGATGAAGATGACTTGATGCTCATTGTTGCAAAGAAACCTGCTGTCACCGTTCCTTCAAATGTGAAAATGATATCCTCCTAATGTACAGACTTGATGCTCCCCTTTTATGATTCATCCTTCCCATTTTTATCATATTATTCATTTACTAGATTAACTATGAAACTGTGCTTAATGTACATTTTATTCCCATTTCTATCATATTATTCATTTACATATTCGACATAGACTGTTTATAAAAGATTATAAACCGTTTATAATGATTTATAAGAGTTTATAAACCTTTTATAAGGGATTATAAATTGTTTATAAATAGTTATATGTTAGTTATAAAATTTCTAAAAGTATATCATTTATAAGAGATAATTAACAAGTGTTAAGAGTTTATAATGACTTATAAACGTTTATAAATAATTTATAAGAGTTTATAACACTTATAAAGGGTTTGTAAATGTTTATAAAAGGTTTATAAATCATAATAAACCATTTATAATAGTTTATAAATCATTTATAAGAGTTTGTTAAGAGTTTATAGGAAATTTAATAATTAAATACTTTATAGAAAATTTATAAAGGGTTAGAAAATTTAAAGCTTATAAGGGTTTATAAATATATAAGGGTTTATAAATTGTTTAAAGTTTGTTAATTATAAGTGGTTATAAGGATTTATAAGGGTTTATAAATATATAAGGGTTTATAAATATATAAGGGTTTATAAAGTGTTTAAAGTTTGTTAAACTATAAGTGGTTATAAGTGATTATACACTCAGACATAAGATGTTATAAAAGTTCCCTTCATATAATATAAGAATATTTGTATAGTTTATAAGGGTTTATAAATGTATAAGAGCTTATAAAGTGTTTAAGTTTCTTAAATTATAAGTGGTTATTTATAATACAATTTATAAGGGTTTATAAATATTTAAGACTCATCCTTTGTTGGTCTGTAAACAAGACACTTTGAACCCTCTCGGTCCATTTTAGATCATCCGTCTCAAACTTGTTCACTTTTTTCTTCAGAAAGGCTTCCTTAGCAGTAGGTACTGTCCCACTAGAAGTCACCCGTAATCTGATCCTACGTGACGCTAAAAATGGTCTCCGAGCATCACCACCACTTATAGCAATTGTGCTGAAGTCCACTGTTTCATTGATAGAGTCTGATCTAGTTGTTTGAAGCCTTTTACATTTCAGATATTCTAGCCCATCTTTAGCCTCTTTGGACAAGCAACTCCTCCTTTCCGCCTGCCAAAAAAACAAGTGTCAGCTAGTCATATACATAAAATGCGATTCATTGATGTATAATAGGTCCACCATTCACACTAATAGATACAAAAATATTAAACTCCGCAAAAGGTAAGATAATTAAAGTGAACGCAGAAGTTAGAAACAGTCAACACATAGAAGTTTGAAAAGGCATAAGCTTTTTTCACTAACACATAAAACGCCTTATCTCTTTGACCAATACCCTACTGCACATATTCAGAAGCTCATCACGGTCCTTCATATGTAGTCTTATCTCCATTCCCACATAGCCTTTGAACAAGCCTCATGTGTGTGTTGAGGGTTCGATATGCTTAAAAGACAATCTGTAAGGAATACGAGAACTCAAAGCGCTCTCTCATAATATTTACATCCTATTGAGTGAGTGCTACAGAATCTGCAAGGCATCAACCGATAGGAGATGAATCATGGTGTGAATGTGCAACAGATTTGGGTGTGACACATCTCCCGAGACAAATCTCGTAACATTTCCATCAACCTCTAACTCACTGCATCCTGGCGCCTTTCTTATTCTCTTCTGACCAATCATCTGACGAATTTTAGATGCCTCGCCGTTTCTCTGAGCAGTCATATAAATACTAGATAGTTGAACAAGAGCTGCTTCCTCTTCATCAGCATTGCCTTTCTCCAACTCAAGAAGATTCTTCACAGCTAGCTCTCCTAGTTCAACATTCTTGTGCGTTTGACAACCATTCAGCAACGCACCACATACAGACGCAAGCGGTTTCATAGGCATTTCTTCAATAACACCAACTGCCTCATCTAATCTCCCAGCTCTACATATCAAATCCACTACACAACTATAATGCTCATGCTTTGGAGTGATCCCATATCGATCTTCCATATTATCAAAAACCTCTCTACCTTTTTCAAGAAAACCTCCGTGAGCACAAGCCGCTAAAACCGCAAGAAGTACAACACTGTCAGCAAGAAGTACTACTTCCCTCAGCAAAACCGACAATGATTATTCATAATCTATTACACAACACAAACCGCAATAAATATAACGTTACTTCTTTTGCAATGCGCCAAAGAACCGTGCAAAGTTCCTATTTTTACGGATTGAAACAGATTAAGATGTCGGCTGAATCAAACAGAAGAAATCTCATTTACAAAACTAATCAACTGAAAAAAAGATAAAAGGGCATTGCAGGTAATACAAATCCAATACCAAATTTTTTTAATATAAATTTCGTACCGAAAGCATGGAGGCGGCGGTTACGGTGTTGCGGAAGAGGCGGACAGGGATGTTGGTGCAGAGCTTGAGAGTTTTGGATGGGTCTTCGGAGGAAGCAATAAAGGCGGCGCCGGAACCACCGCATACGGCGGAACCAACAACGAGGAGTCTCGCATAGGGTCTCTCTCGTGAAGAAAACGAGGGAGTTCGACGCGGTAATACTGGTCGAGAGAGCTCATCACGTTCATAGGAGAAATCGTTTGGTCTCGTCGGATTTGATAACCTATTTCGCCGGAGATGGCCGATCTCGCCGGAGTTGCGGGAGATGGCCGCCGGAGATATTTGAAGAAAAATAGATCTAGGTTTGAGAAATTAATCAAGGGGTAAAATAGTATTTTGCATAATAAAATTTTCAGGGTAAAGATGATTAATGTAAAAGTGAAATAGTGTATCATGAATGTGGTAGTTTTAGCAATTTCCCTATTACAATTCATATCTTAGAAAATTAGTAACCATGGCAAAACAATAGAGGCAAAGGAACAACAACGTCCATGACTCTCCGCTTGCGCGGGACTCTACTTCTAGTTTATATTAGTTACAGAGTTTGACTAAATTTTGTTGAAAATTATTGTATTATGATATAAAAATGACAAATAGCCTTTCACATTCATTTAAATTTAGCCTTTGATGTTACATTTAATTTATTTTTATATATTTACTTTATTAAAAAACGAAAAATGTTTTTTCATCCTTAAAATATATTATTTAATTTTTATAATTAATTATTAGAATGATTTAACATATATATATATTTACTAGGGTAGGCCCGCCCTACGAGCGGGTAGATAAATAATATAAATTATTTAAATTTTTAATTTATTCTAAACTAAAATTAAAATTAAAATTAATTTCATGTTTTTTAAAAATAATTTATCGACTTATTTGATTATTTATATTAAAAATCGTAAACCTATTAATTATTGAAATTTTAATAGGAGATTATTATTCTTTGTTCTTTTAATGTTTGTTTTAGTTTAACTATAGTAATAGTTAGAATTAGTTTTTTAAAATTATTCGATGAGATTAGTAAAGTTATAAGTAATAAGTAGTGTGAAGTTTAATCCCTTCTAACTGGAAATATATATAAGTCAGATAGAGTACATAAAAAAATTAATAGTGATCTTTACTATTTAAAACTATATATGTTTGTTTGAATCTTAAATATATTACTACTATGTTTGAAAAATAAAATAAATTACATAATTTAAGTAACTCATGATTATAATTTGGAAAATAAATGGTACTTGGAAATTAGCATAGTATAATTCTTACACTTTTATTACATATGTAGTTAAATTATTATATATTAAACTAACAAATATTTTTATTATATATTCTGATCATGAATGAGATTTTTTTTTTTTTTTTTGAAAAGTTAGATAATTTAGATGATTAGAGGGAAAACAAACTTGTGTGTGACTATTGCTTCTATTGTTTTGAATGTCTCCATGGTGTGTTCAGCATCTATCTTTTTATCTTTATCTTTTATATTACTATGAGTTTGTAAAATTATATACCGCCATCTCAATTTTTAGTTGGTGGTTGTTAGATTATCGGATAAGCTGCGACCTTTTTTAACTATGTGATTTTTTGAGTTCAACCTCCATTGCGAGTAAGAAATTATTAGGATCTCGGACCTAAAAACGAAGTTTCTAATAAGTTTGTAAAAGATACATGTGTCACATGGTGTAGGGATGACATTTAATCGTAGTTTTGTTACAATATAAACTGCTAGTATTGTTACCTTAACCCCGTGGAGTGATATCCTTAAAGAAAGTATAAGCGGTTTCGGTAGTAGCGGCATGTGAAATGGGCGTGTCTAGCATTGGTTCATTTTGATTGTGCTCATTGACTATAATTAGATACATAACAAATTGAGAATAAAATCTCCCATAAATAACTTTAGATTCCATCTAATGAGTTGGTACATCAATTTTTATATGGCAATAATATTAAATATCTCTGAAATTAGATTACGAAAATCACTACAGGCTACAAAATTATAATCGTCTATATTTATTATCATCTTTCTAATTGTTAGAACTAAAATTCTAATTACATTTTTATAAATATTTTGATGAAAAACATGCACGTATCACGGACCGTTTAAGAATTTGATATTAATATTGTTTTTTTTGTACGGTTGAGAATATATTGATCAAACGAATGCTAATATGGCAATCATTCTCAAGAATATATTGATAAAACGAAAAATTGACAATTCTCAAAAAATAAATCAAATTAAAAATTTACAAACAGCTAATATCTCACCTATTTCTTTAATCAAAAGTTTAGCTTCTCCTGTTGTAAACCCACAAACAGCTGAAGTTAGATGCAGAGCAGCCGGGATTGGCTTAGGCTATGTCCAGATTTTTTGTTTAATTTTTAATTTATTTTGTGTGTGTAATATTTCATATGTATATTTTAGCATATAATATTATAAGCTATCATTATGATATAAGTTGCTAGGCAATTTTAAAATTATTTTAAGTCATTCCTTTCTTTTTGTCTTATAAAATTGAATTTTAACTTGTTAAAAATTATATATAAAGTGATGAGCAAAATCAACATAAAATTAATGAATTCGGCTGGATTGTAGAAATGTTTCAATTAATTTAGAACTTTTTTAGAACTTTTGTTTGAAATTAGTTTTAAAGCAATTTAATTGATTCCCAAAAAAATTACAACTAAATGGAAAAAGGCTACATTCAAAATTCCTAAAATATGTATTTAATTCTCAATATTTAGTTTTGTATTATATATATATGTCAATTCTTGTCAAAGTATTTTTTATCCATTTTAGGTTTGTCGTTATAATATTTATTTGCAGATTTATTTTGCTAAGATTAAATATATTCAATAATACAATTTTTAAATTATTATAAATATCTTGGTTAATTGATTTAGCATAATTTTAATGATAAATAAATGAAATTTTCTCTCTCTTTTTTTGAATTTTTGTTAATCTTGGTATGACTTTTGGGTAGATTTTCCTACGCTTTATTAAATTTCGTAATAAGTTTTCCCAATCTGTATAAATTAAAGAAAACTAATCTGATAGAAACTTCACTTTTGGTATTGTTAAAAATTGTATTAACGTATAATACAAATAATTCCAAATACAGTAGCATGAACGTATAAGAAATCTTAATTAACACACACTGAATCGTCAAAATATAGAAGATTACTTTTTCTTAAATATTTCTAGAACAAATCTTGGTTTCATCTTGGTTTCAGTTGATAATAAGGCCGGACGCTATGTTTCACAAATTGAACACAGCAGAAGGATAAAACATTCGTCTCTCGAAAACAAAATCATGTACTGTATTCCATCTCTCCTCTAAGAAAAGACTTGTGACAGCCATAAGAGGCATATGCGTGACTTCTATTCTATATGTATCAGTCTAGATGAATTCACCGTGGATTCGCTGAGGATACTAAAGTCTGTCATCTCATCAAGTAATACATACTGTCATCACCGTAAATCAATTTCAGCATTAAAGAATAGAAATACTGTATTTGAAACTTCACAGTATGAGGTGGCAGACTTAACATATGACAAAGTTATCCCTTATGAATCCTTCCTCTAACTCATAAAAGTAAAGCTTGAGACCTATATAGTTCACCACTTAACCATCATATGTAACAGATTAAAACATTACAATTATGTGTAAGCCTTCAAAGCTGAAGAATGTACTTACATCGACTACACGGTGAAGGATGGAGAGAAGACATGCATCATTAAATTTTTGCCTTGGTAGCTATCATAAGTTGAACGTTACTATGTTGTACAAACATGCAAGTGGTCCCATTTGAATGTTTATCACCCTGGCCAATCAAACAACATATCAATAAGTGAATACTCTGCTTTTAATCAAAAAAGTCTGAATTTCAAATCCAAACTATATAACCTACACCAATGATCAAACCTGTACACTACTTCTGAAAGTTTCAAATTCGGACTTTAAGATTTTAGTTTGACTTGAAGACTCTCTTTGACACGAATTCAATAGGATTCATACACAAATCTGTCAGAAGATAACAAAGCAAACAGGAACAAAAACTTCTTTTAAGATGAGCTTGGTGAAGAAGCGCTTGGTTTGAGCGGCAGAGACATCGCCGTGGTAGACATCAAAAGAGGAGTTTCCGACAGTTTGAAGTTGAGGTTGCTCTGCTTCAATGTAACTGAAAGACACAAACATAGTTCAGTCCGCTTAAATCAATAGAGGTTAATTAAATTTGAGCTCTTGAAACTAACATAATTCTATAAATATACCTACAGAAGTGTTTTATTTGATTTATGAAGTAGCAATAACGACAAAGAGTGGCTCAGCTAATCCAAATCTTGGCTCATCAATGTTGCTTGGATATCCATATGAGCATCCCCATCTCACACACCAGTGCTCCTGTTAAAAAATAACAGCAGAACGTGAGGAGAGAAAATAGAGCTCGGACCAAACTCAGTGATCCATTATTCATCTCATACGAATCACNTGATTTATGAAGTAGCAATAACGACAAAGAGTGGCTCAGCTAATCCAAATCTTGGCTCATCAATGTTGCTTGGATATCCATATGAGCATCCCCATCTCACACACCAGTGCTCCTGTTAAAAAATAACAGCAGAACGTGAGGAGAGAAAATAGAGCTCGGACCAAACTCAGTGATCCATTATTCATCTCATACGAATCACTTTTTTTTACACTGACCAACCCTATAACATGTATCTGTTAATAAGAAGAACAGTCAAAGTAACTCTAATCTGCAATTCCAGTGACAAATCTATTAGCAATAGTTTATTGAATCTTTGACAAATAGACATAATTTCTCACGCCAGATAACTAAATAGGATCATGAGCAATTGACAACTTTTTGTATAAACTATCTGGATTATAATGAACTGGAAGATAGTGATCTTACTTAAAGGGAGATTGCGACGGGACTCAATGAACGCATCGCCGCAAGAGGGAGGCGAATCTTGATAGTGGAAGTACAATGGCCAGTCTTTCCTTTGAATCAATGAGGAAGAAAGCGGAGCTAACTACTTTTATCACTGGATTTTTAAAAAGCTTCTGATCGAGAGGGTTGAATTGATGAGTTTCACGGTAAAGGGTCTACCTTTCTATACTCGAAGATTTAGAGAAAGGGAATAAAGGGGATGCATGATTGCTTTAATGACACGCTTGGATTAAGAATGATTCAGTAACGTTTTGATATTCTTCGTTTGCCGGGAAGACGAATCAAAGAAGAACAAAGACGGCGAGGAGTTTTGATCGTATGTTCCCAACCACTAACCTTAACTACATTAACCTGGACCATACATAATTCAAACAATAACCCAATACTCAGCCTAATAGAAAAACTCATGAAGTTATATTTGACTAATGGGCTGGATATTAAACAGAGCACGAAACGCATAAGATTTTTGTTTTAGACACGTGTCGATCTCAAGTGAACATATTTAGTGTCATGGCATAAGGAAAATGAGGGAAACTCTAATTTATAATAATAGATAGATAGATGATGACGACTTTCATTCACTGTTTTCTAAATATTTTCTAAAAAGCTCTTATATATTAAAAGAGAAGCATTGTAATAAATGCGTTCATACCGTAACTGACACGTGTCGATTTCATCATTATTTAGTGGTTAATGCCTTTACACACTAATTTTTTAAATTCATTATTTAATGTGTTTATATACTATTTTTTAATTAATTTATTTTTCCTACATTTTTTAGCATTTGTATTAATAAATTAAAACATTCTACGTGAAACTAATGAATAATATATATATTATAAAGAAATTACAAAATCATTAAGATTCGCATCAACTAAAATGTTGCGATGAAAATGTTTGTAGAAATTGAAAGTTTCGTACCTTGCGGAAGTTGGTCATGGTTGAAGCTTCAGTACACAATAACATGAATTAAAAAAAGTGAGGTGAAAAACACCACACATAAAGTCGGATCTTTAATTTAGTCAAATTAACATTTTTATAAAGTTTTAATATCAGACAAAGAATTAGAAACAAAATCAAATTGGTAGAAAAAAATCAGAAATCAGAAAAGCTTTAAAAACAAATAAAAATCACAAAATCAATTAAAAACAGAATTCAGATACCAAGTGAAGATGTCACTTTGTAATATATATTATTTTTATTGTTTACGGGTACAATTTTATTTCCTTCATATGTAAAAATGTTATTAATTTCTAGATTTGTTTTATTTTTACTCAATTTTATTTAAGAATTTACTATCATGTGTTATTTTGAACAAAAAATTTTAAATCTTAGTTAACGGTATATTCATATATTTATCATCACATTTATATATTTTTACATATATACATGTACACATTGCCATGAGCGACTATATAACTAAATATTCACCACAAGTGAGAATTTTAATTCTTATTGAAGTTGAATTTTTTTTTTTTAAATGTTTTCTTT